TGGGTAACATGGTGAAATAACTTTTCTAGTAATCTCTTTTTCCTGGGAATCTAAACTTCCTTTCCTGGGGATCTTAGAGAATATTGCTCTCATTGCTACTATTTCGTATATTTTTCTCTTTTTGGTAACTATGGGGATATTATGATGGCTATAATAAAAATAATGTAGGAGTATATAAAAAAGTATTATGATGTGAGTATAAGCACATGGATAGAAGGCTAGATATTTGCTGGATATGTGTTCTGGGAAAGTCATTCTCCCAGGAAACTCCATCTCTGCTTGTCTTCAGGGAGAAAATTGATCCTCATAGAACCCATTTGTTCTCCTGGTTTTAGCACTCAACAGCAGTTCACAGCATGACTCAGAAACTCAAGTGAGTAGAAGAAAGGATGAAATGTGGTTCAATATGTTGTCTCTAAAAAATAACATCTCAAAATTTTTGATGACTACGTATATATTATCAGACACGAAAAGCCTTCTGGATGTTGCAAATAATGTTACGAATCGTACTATAGACAGGAGAAAGAATGGATTCTACCAGTTTGACTCTAATCTGCCATACCTCAGGAATTGGTTCATCCACGTAGACCCATTCTTCTGATCCTGGCTTAGGAGGTGGTGGCACTACTGGAGTAGGTGATGTTTCTGCAGAGCTAGCAGGTGATTTCTTTACTGATGCTTTTCCTCCTGGTGATTTTCCTTTTGGAGAACCTTAAGTATGTATATCAAATTTTTCCAACACAAGTGAATGAATGGGACAGGATTCTGGTGGATAAATAAATACACTATTGCCATAAACTTCAGGCAATTCATTAGCTACTTTTCCAGGTCCTTTGGGCAGTTTTACTAAATCAGAAGTTTAAAAAAAGGCCTCATTTTCCATAGCCCCCAAATTAACCAACAATACTAGCAATGAGTTGTTTCCTTTTTAAGCTATCAAGCCTATTTTGTCCAATTGACTACTAAAAGAACTTGATATGTTATTTTCACCTCTTGTCTTTGCTTTCACAATGAACAGGCAATTCTAAATAAAGTTTAGCTTTGCTGTGGTGTCTAATCCATGGCCTAGGGGCTGCATATGAATTATATGAGGACTTTTTTGCTTATCTCTGGTGGTGGATATAATGAAAATTGTGTGTGGACCTTTTTTTGTTGTTGTTGTTCATCAGCTTACATTAGTGTTTGTGAATTTAATGTGTGGCCCCAGACAAAAACTTCTTCTAATATGCAGCTGAGAAGAAGAAAGGTTGGACACCCCTGCAAGCAAAGTGTATTTCATTTCCTATTGCAAAAACTGGAAAATTGAACTCTCTACCTTGAATAAGAAAAAGAAGGGTGTACTGTGGCTCATGAATATCCCCCACAGCCCCCTAGGCGACATAGTGTTTCTGAGGGGAAATTGTATTTCTTGCTACAGTCAGGGAATTAGGATGAGGGTGCTTACTGAGCCCGGTTGAGTCAAGGCATAAGAGAAAGTGAGAAGGGAAGGGAAGAAAAGGGAAGGGGAAGGTGTGGGAAGACAAACAAGAAGGGAGAAAAGTAGGAAGATCTCTAATTTTCAATTGAGAATTCAGACAGACATACACCTCACTTTCCCAGATGTCATCAAGAGGAGAATCCAGATTTGTTAAGTGACAGTCCCAACATTCCTTGAAAGGATCAAGGTTATTAGAGTATAGAAATTCACTCAGTTTAAAATTCCACTTACCTTTAGATTAATTACTTAGACTTTTAAATACAGTTTACAAACACCTGTAGAACTGGGAGCACTTTCTTTCCCCCAACCAAATATGTGTCTTTAATGAGTGTCATTTAATGACAATGCTGTTTAGAAAAGCAAATACATTTTTCACTTTTACTTTAGTTAAAAGTAAGTAGAGGAGAAATTGTTAATTGTCTTAGGGGCAGTTTAG